ATGATGTATAAAAAACTTTCCATGAAAACTAGTCATACTAGTTTCACAAGTATGACTTCAGTCCTCGTATGTATGAGGCCCCTTGGCAGGCTACTGAGTTCTCTCTCATGTTAGAGACTTTTCTCCTAGCAGGAAAAAATGCCTACTTAAGGGTAGTGACCCCACTGTGGTTCAGAATTGAGAATGAGAAATAGTCCATGATGATGGTGTGGCCCTTTAGATGCCCTGCCTGAGAACTGACAGAGTGGCTCAACTGTTAAGAGCACAGCTGCTCTTATCGAGGACCAAGGTTCAGTGCCCAGCACCCATATGAGGGTTCACAACTGTCCCTAACTCTAGTTCCAGGGGATTCAGCACTCTCTTCCGGCTTCCTTGGGTACCAGGCGTGCATATATTCATGTAGGCAAACACTCACACACATAAAAGGACAAATAATTGATTGTATCACTAAGCAGATGGTCACCAAGTACTTGCTGTAGCCTCCAATAAAGACATGCACTGAATCAAATTGAAAGGTTACTTAAAGACATTCTTCAGGGGCTCTCACCAGTGTCACCAGTGTGACATTTAGAGACACTGTGGCACAAGGCTAAGAGCTCTGTTCCAATAGAGTTTGTTGCAAACATTAGCTTGCTTATTGCCTGAGTCAATCTTGGGAAATTAAACACTCTGAGCTTCAGCTTTCCTCTCTGGGACTTGGGTCTTAAAATAATAGCCACTTGTACCCTGCAGAGTTGGTTCTCTCTGCAATTAAGTATAAGAATTATGTAAGTTCCTTGAGCCCAGCCAACATGTGGCATGTGCTCAGTTTGGGGGTCTCTCTTGTTTTGGGGGTTGGCAGGAAGGAACACATTCTGTGACTTTCTGGGCCACGGAGACCCCTGTGTGTGCCCACACTTACAGCTCTAATCGAGAAGCCAGAGGCCAGCCTGGTGGCGTGCCTAGGCGACTCTTGTTTAGATCCAGCCAGATCCCAAAGCTTCCTTCCGGCCTGAATTGTTATTGTGACTCCCTTTGCCTCCTCTTTGAAGTCTCTGGATTGACAGATGTTATTCAATCACTCCACACACGTGCAACTTTATGTGTAGGCAAAAAAAAAAAAAAAAAGAAAGAAAGAAAGAAAAGAAAAGGTCACAGGAAACTGGAGGGGAAAGTGAAGCTTTGGTTTCTGACCTTAAACCAGGGGATTTCTAGAACCTTCTGCAGTCAGTGCCACAAATTAATTTCATGTGGGCGCTTGCCTCAGACTTAGAAGAAATAGAAATGAGCAAGGAGGATCTTTTCTGTAAGTAACTAGGAATCATAAGCTGATCAGTAGCAAATGAACAGTTTGTTCAGATGTTTTAACGAGTTAGAGACTCAGGTAATAGCTAAAATTCTGAATTGTATTTTCTGGTATGTGGAAAGGAATATTCACAACCAAAAGTAAAGCCTGTCCAAATTCTCCCAGTGTATTACAGGGCACTGAAAATAATGTTTATAGGATAGGGGGCTGCTGATTTTTTTTCTATAAAAATTGTTCCAGATAGTAAATACTTCTGGCTTTATGGAGCAGAGCTGATCTTTTTTGCAGGAAGGTCTCTATTAAGAGCACCCACAGAAGACTTCTCTCTCCTTCCCCACCCCTTCTGTTTAATAACTGTTGGGAGTACCGGGGTAGCTTCATCACAAGGCTGTACAGAAACTAAATCTGCCTGCCTTATAACATAAGGCAATATTCATCTAACAGCGCAAACATGAAATTCATGCAAGTGACCCAGCCTATGCTGGTTGCCAGTATATCCCTGTGGTACCAGATGACCTGACCATTGTCCCTGAAGAGTTTCCATAGCCCTGAGAGGACCGTTCAGCCAATGAACCAAACAGTTGTTTGGTTTAAGTTTTTTTTTTTTTTTTTTTTTTTTTTGAGACAGGGTTTCTCTGTCTAACAGTCCTGGCTGTCCTGGAACTCACTTTGTAGACCTGGCTGGCCAAATAGTATTATGGCAAGGTGTCTCATGTAGAGCTGACTGTGGAGAGCTGAGACATGAAAGCCTTCACTTGTAAACACGTCCACAGGTGGTAGGGATACAGTCTATGATTTTCTGTGGCCCCTAAGTAATACTTCACCTGTGTCTTTAATTTTGACATCAAGGAATTGATTTGTGTGTGTGTGTGTGTGTGTGTGTGTGTGTGTGTGTGTGTGTGTAACTGTCATGGTCTGCCACTACCGCTGTCACTCAATCCCTGTCCCAACACCAACATTGGGTAGCTCAAATTACCCTGTAACTCCAGCTCCAAGTGATCTGATACCCTATTTGGCCTCTGAGGGCACCTACACACACACACACACACACACACACAAACATACACGTACTTAAGAAATGAAATAATCTTAAGGAATTTTGAAGGCTCCATAACCAAATTATATATCTTGCCCTATTTTTAAAAGATTTATCTTCCTTTTATTTCCTATGTATGAGTGTTTTGCTTACATGCATGTATGTGCACTGCATGGTGCCCGTGAAGCACAGAAGAGGTGCCAGACCCCCTGGAACTAAAGTTAAGGACATTGGAAATTGCCATGTGGTGTCCTCTGCAAGAAGAGCAAGTGCTCTTTACCTTACTTTACTGAAACATCTCTCCACTCTTATTTTTTTCCTGTTTTTAAAGTGCATTAATGTATCTCTTCAGAAAATTGTTCTTTCCCTACCAACATCCTGGAATCCTAAAGTTTCAGTACTTTAATTTTGAGCGGTAGGATTCTGGCCTTGGAATTTAGTCAGTGGCTTCAACAAACACTTCAGTCATATGGAACCATGTCTGCCTGCTCTCCCTTCCTTTCCCTTCCCGCAATGTCTCTTAAGTGACTGTGTCAAATGCCAGATAGGTTCCAAGTTCCCTCTAAGACACCTTAGCCGTCTTCCTAGTCACCTGGCTTGAATACTCACTGCCCCTCCCCACCCCAGTAACTGAAGTAGCTGAGTATTATTGGTTGAATAATTACAAATCCTGTGTCTTATATCAAATCCACCTCAGCCCCCTCTACCAACTGCTTCCCTCTCTGGTCCCTTACAGAGACATTCTGAAAAGGGTTCTCACATACGTCATGTATTCCTTCTCCCTCACATGGGCTCTTTCTGTGCCTCATGGGTGGCTCTCATTTGTCAGAGAACAACTCAAAGATAGTCCCTGATCCTGTACCACCCTTGTTTCTCTAAGTTTCCTCACATCCCATCAACCCACATATTGTACCATATTCTTGCCTCCCTTCTGGACTATCATGTATTTTACTCAACGCTTGTGTGCGTGCCCTGACTCTCCCACTGTGTAGTGTGAGGACAGAGGCATGCTAATAGTAGGCGTTCGGGAATGCCGTGGCTCTAATGTTAGAGCCTGAGGCCTGCTCGTCAGGGAGAACCTCAAGCCCAGGTGAACAGTGCATGACTAGAAGTCTGGCATTCATGTGGATCTCTTCAACTACCCTCTGCCCATTATAGATTTCTAACCATGACCTTTTTCCCAAGAGGAGATCCAATAACAAATGATCAAAGCTAGCAGGTGAACCAAAGTTGCACATAAGACATTGTTAGGTCTTGGGTGTGTTGTCTCCACCATCAGCAACCAAATGCCTGGCAACAAGAGAGATACTGAGTGGACGTAAGTCTTCCAGAGACCACTCTCCCCACTGCTCGGGCCCAGAGCTGGTGTTTCAGGGTAGCCTGGGTGGGAGTCAGAGTGAGCAGAGAGAACTGGAGGCTGGAATCCATAGGAACAACAGGACTGTGGCATCTCTACAGCAGGGGTCCCCAACCTTCCTAATGCTGTGACATTTAACACAGTTCCTCATGTTATGGTGACCTCCCACAACCATAAAATTATTTTTGTTGTTACTTTTATGACTGTAATTCTGCTACTGTTGTGAATAACAGTGTAAGTATCTGTGTTTTCTTGTGGTCTTGGGGGTCCTTCAACTCTTAAAGGGGTTGCAACCCAGAGGGTGAGAACCATTGCTCTACAGTTTTATGGGGTTCTTTATGGATTGATTACTTTTTGTATTGCTATGACAAAATGACTTGACTGGAATCAAATTAAGGAAGGAAGAGATTATCCTGGCTTGCAGCTTGAGGGGATGCAGTCAGTCACGGGTGAAAGCAGGCTGTCAGGACCTGGTCACAGTGCATTCGTAGAAAGCAGAGAGCACACTGAAAAAATGAGGTTCCACGTCTTAAGACCCACCCTAAAGGACCCACTCCAGCTAGTAAGTGAGGTTCCACTTGGTGAAGGTTCTATAAGCTTCCAAAACACCACCAGCAGCTGGGAATTGCGTTTTCAAACACGCGACCCTGGCCAGGTTGCAGTGAGGGAAGCCTTTAACACTAAATCACACTACTATGTAAGTAACCATTTGAAAGCAGGAGTTACATCATTCTTTCCCTATCCCAGATGCCTCGACCTTCGTTACTGTTCAGTATATTGTAGTTACTCAGCTCTGTGTGTGAGTGTGTGCTCACATATATGTGCTTATGTCTGCAAGGTACACAAGTGTGCAAATGTGTGAGTCTGGATGCTAGATGATTTCTTAGAAGTGGAATCCTAAACATGCACCCTTTTAGTGACAGGGTCTTCCACTTATTCTGAGACTCACTGATTTGGCCTAACTGGCTGACAAGTGAGCCTCAGAGATCCACCTGTCTCCATTTCCCCAAGCTTGAAGGCAGCTGCCTTAACGACTGCCGTCTCCCCAGTTCCCCCTCATGGAGATGATTGCTGATGAAGAAGAGACTTGGAGCCAGTATATAACAACTTCTTATGTATCAAACTTTGGTTGATATGGGATCTCTGATCATATCTAATGTGGTTTCACCTTGGGAAGGGCATGGCTGGTGTGCTGGTGTGTAGCATCACTGTAAGAATCACTGTCTAGGATCCGCGGACACAGTTCATGGTTGTAGACTTGCCTCCTGGTGGCCCACAGCTCCCAAACCTAATCATTCTCTCCTGCCTTATCTCTATGTCAGAATATACCGCCAGCAATCCTGACCTGTTCCTGGTCATTATCCAAGTGACCGGCGTCAGCCTCCTGCCTCCGCTGGGGATTGCTATAGCTGTGATCGTCATCTTCTACTGCTATCGTGTCCATCGGCAACAGAAGCTGAGCCCATCCTGGGAAAGCAGCAAGGCCCGGAAGCTCATGGAGTTCAGCGACAACTGTGCCATTATCCTGGAAGATGACCGGTCAGACATCAGCTCCACGTGTGCCAACAACATCAACCACAACACAGAGCTGCTGCCCATTGAGCTGGACACACTGGTGGGGAAGGGCCGCTTTGCAGAGGTCTACAAGGCCAAGCTGAAGCAAAACACTTCAGAGCAGTTTGAGACCGTGGCGGTCAAGATCTTCCCCTATGAGGAGTACACTTCCTGGAAGACGGAGAAGGACATCTTCTCAGACATCAACCTGAAACACGAGAACATCCTGCAGTTCCTGACTGCTGAGGAGCGGAAGACAGAGCTGGGCAAGCAGTACTGGCTGATCACAGCATTCCACGCCAAGGGCAACCTGCAGGAATACCTTACAAGGCATGTCATCAGCTGGGAGGACCTGCGCAAGCTGGGCAGCTCCCTGGCCAGGGGCATCGCTCATCTCCACAGTGACCACACTCCTTGTGGGAGGCCCAAGATGCCCATCGTTCATAGGGACCTCAAGAGCTCCAACATCCTCGTGAAGAACGATTTGACCTGTTGCCTGTGTGACTTTGGGCTGTCCTTGCGCCTGGACCCAACTCTGTCTGTGGATGACTTGGCCAACAGCGGACAGGTGAGTGAGAGCTGCTGCTTCAGCCCCTGACCTCATGCCTGGCCTTGCCTCTGCCTTTCTTTTAGTTTCTGTAATGTTTTAATTAGAAGTGTGTGTGTGTGTGTGTGTGTGTGTGTGTGTGTGTGTATGCTTACACACAAGCATGCACTCACCCAAGCATGCATGTGTGGAGACCAGACATTGACATCAGGTGTCTTTCTTCATTGCTTTCCACCTTGTTTTTTGAGGCAGAGTCTCTTACTGAATCCAGAATTCACTGATGGGTTAGATTGGTGGGCCAGTGAACTCTAGAGTCCTGTTCTCTCAACTCCACCCCAACCCAGAGGCCCTGGGGTTACAGAAGTAAGCCAATGTGCCTGGATTTTACCTGGGTATTGAAGATCTGAACTCAGGTCCTCATGCTTATGTAGCAATCATTTGATCCACTGAGCCATCTCCCTGGTCCTCATTTAATATGTTCATTAGTATACTGTACATGTCATACAAAGTAATGGGTTTCCTTGTGACATTTCCATCCATACATATAAACAACTTTAAATAATGCCTTGAATGAACATCTTTCTATTATCCCTTCTCTTCCCTGCCCTCCTTCTCCTTCCATGTCTCTAATAAGTCCCTCCCCCACCTCCCCATCCCTTACTTCCATTTTCTTCCCTCCCTTGAAATTCCACACAGGATAGACAGCACTCAGCATGCCTTCTTGAGCCTGGCTCATTTCACTTAACATGATATTCTCCAGGTCCATCCATTTTCCCGTAGATGCCATCTTCTCATTCTTCTTTACATATGAATAAAACTCTACTGTGCATGTATGTCGCACATACATGTAGTCATGTATGTCAGCCCAAGCTGACAACATAACTTGGCTATTTTCACCTCCCCCTTGACCCCGCCCTCTTGTCTCAGGGAGCTCTACATTATAGTATTTATTTAAGGAATCTAGAAAATTAGTGTGTTAGTCCCCACCAGTCCCCAACATAACCCATAGTCTTTCGACTACGGACCTTTGTTAATAGATGGCATTGTCCCTCCCTGGCTTCAGGATCCCGTCCAGCCCAGTCAGCTGTTGTTCCCCATCCTCCTGTTTGCAAATGGTTTTCTTTCTTTCAGGAACTGTTAACATCTTACCTCTATCTTTTCCTCTCATATAGTTGTTCTGGATCCTTTCTGCTGTCTAGTCTCAGTGGTTGTATTAGTTTCTAGATTCTAGAAGGAGACCAAATCCTCCTCCACTTAGGAGTCTACCAAAGATACCCAGCACAATGCCTCAGGCAGTGAATGTGACAATAAGTATTTGTTGAAGGAGTGAACAGTTCCATATGTCTGTCTGTCTGACTTTAATTCTCTGTGTGTACTGACACATATGTGTACCTGCACACAGACACACAGACAACACACACACACACACGTGCACACATGCACGCACACGTATCTGTATGGAACCCAGAAATATTCCTCCATTGCTACTCACCTTGTTTTGTGAGACAAGGCCACTTACTGAAACTGGAGCTCCCCAATTTGGCTAGGCTAGATGGATAGACAGCTCCAGGGGTCCTCCTGTCTTTGCCAGACTCCACACACTGGTGGAATTACAAGGGTGTGCCACCACTACCACCTTTGGTATAGATGCTGGGGACTGAAGTTCTGTCCTCTTGCTTGCGTGGCAAGCTCTTTGCTGACTAAGCCATCTATTCGACACAGTGATTCCATTTTGGAAGTGTTGTCCCAGATCCAAATGGAAAGCCTTTGATGAGGGCATGTTTGGAGGATTTCCTTCCCTGGTGACAGCTGAGGACTAACACAGTGGGCCCATCAGGGCACGGCTGTTCTCTCTAGCTCGATAAAAGGGCACACTCTAAAACCGCCATGAACAAAACTTGAGAAGTTTCTGCCTTGTCAGCATTCTGTCCATGGCAGCACATGCAGTGTGGGGGTCATGAATGCTCTGTCCATGGCCACACATGTGGTGTGGATGGAGGTCATCTTGCTGAGACACAAATTAATATGTCAGGACAATGACTCACAGAGCACTCCATTAAAAAGAAAACTGTCTTCTAAGACATGCCAATAAGAACTATTCTTTGGAACAATGGTGTCACATTATTTGATCTCTGCAAGACAGGACAGTGATTGACATTGGATGAAACTGTCATTTGTGCTGCAGTGGCACACATTTCCATTTGAAAAACTTCCCTTAGAAATAGCTTTCCCTTCTCCCTGTGGGCCCTCTGTTTGTTTAGTGTCAATCATAAAACTGATCACAAGCCTAAATAACCAGAATGCAACTACACTTCACATTCATGGAAATTATGGTATGACTTGGTCTTTTCATATGACTTTAATTTAGCAGAGATTTATGAAATTATGTCATACGGGCCATGGGGTAAATTAAAATTAAATGGTCCTTAAGAGACCCATACGGGTGGCTATTATTTTCCATGAGTTTTAGCATTTCAAGAATGAAAAAAATCTTAATTTACAAAACCAAATATAAATATGTAAGGGGGTGGAGAGATGGCTTAGCAACAAAGGGCACTTGCTGCTCTTACAGAGTGTTAGTCTAGGGGTTTTGATCAGGTTCCTTTTCCCTGGCAGTTAAAGAATTAAAGGTAGGAAAAAGCCTCAAATGGTGTCCATGGAAGAATCTCGAACAGCAGCAAATAGGGACAGGAAGAGTCAGCAATTAAAGAAAGGTGTTTATTGGATTGAAGAGACACAGACATGCAGCAGACACATAGAAAAAGGCCTGCAGAGCACAGAGGAAACTGAAAATCAGACTCTTCTCCAGGGCTGGGGTTTATCTCCTCTGAAGGGTCTTCCTCTCCTAATTTAGGGTTGGTCAGTTAGAAGAAAGTAAGAATGGCTGATTGCCTCAACTGCTACACAGCATGTCCTGACCAGGCCTTGAACTTGGTGATCCTCTCTCTCCATCAGGAGACCTACTGGTGGGAGACAAACAGCCCATGAGGCCTTTGTTTTAAGCTGACAGGATTTTGTGCCAGGTCACCAGGGAGAGGAAGAAGTCAACAATTTTGGAAGTTTACCACCTTTATTACTTAGTGATAGTCCCTCTCACTGTCTGTCTTCCATGGACTCCTTCTGATTCCTAGTCCCTCCAGTAGACCTAGAGGAGGGTTCCTAGCGCCCATATAGCAGCTTACAACTGTCTGTAATTCCAACTCCCAGGATCTATGTCCTCTTCTGGCCTCTGTAGACACAAATCACACTTGTGGTACTCGAAATAAAACTAAATAAATCTTTTAAAAAATATAAGCACCTAAAATGTCATAGATGTAGTAGACCTAGGGGTTATCTATAAGAATATTGAACAATAGGATGGCATATGCAGTCACATTAGTGGCTCTGGGCTGGGACACTTGTTTGAGCATGTTTTGTCATTGGAGAGTTTTCAGAGAGAGAAAATAACACCATGTGTTGTGTCTGCCTGTGTAATTCTCATCATTTAAAGCAGCACTCTGATTTTCTTAGAGAGAGCATCTGCACAGGGCTGGGGCTGTAACTCAGTCAGCAGAGTGCTTGCCTAGAGTGCATGGAGCCCTGGGTTAGCTTCCTAACATCCACATCAAGGGGCTGTGGTAGTGTGTTTCTGTACTCTCAGCACTCTGCAAACGGAGCTTCAGGGGTTCAAGGTAAACACCAGCTACAGAGCATGGGACCAGCTTGAGCTGCTTAAAACAGTGTCAAAAAAAAACACAGGAAGAAAGGGAGGGAGGGAGGGAGGGAGGGAGGGAGAAATAAAGGAAAGAAGGAAGGGATAAGAAGAAAGAAAATATCACACCTCCAGCTGAAGAGCTGTTGCCAGTTGATGGCTCCTGGGGGAACGGGGAGAGGAGCCATGTTTCTTCAGTGGTATAGCCACTGTTAGCTGCTTTCATCCTGGAAAGCCCCCACCAATGGTTTTATGAGCAGCATGACTGAAATGCAATGAATGGTTTAAAAAAGACATGGAAGTGGGTATTATCAAGAAGGGGTTCAAGAAGCGGGCAGCAAATAAGAGAGGATAATGGGAGAGAATATGATCAAAATACATTGTACACATGTATGAAGTTGCCCAAGAGTAAAAGAAGAAACCTCTGGAAACAAACATAAGATCATCTGCATACAAGAAGCCCAAGCTTAAGTTCCCTGTGACAAATTCCATCAAAACTAAAATGAAATCAGGAGCTTCATTCTGTTTTTGTTTTTGTTTTTTTCCCCTTTAGGTGGGAACAGCAAGATACATGGCCCCTGAGGTTCTAGAATCCAGGATGAATTTGGAAAATGTGGAGTCCTTCAAGCAGACAGATGTCTACTCCATGGCTCTGGTACTCTGGGAGATGACATCCCGTTGCAATGCAGTGGGAGGTACGTGCTTGGTCACAGAGCAATCGGTGGTGGGTCCCCATTCCAGATGATGTGATGGTGTCTGTTCCCAGCGTGGTTCCAGGGTTCAGTGCAGAGCACTGGGGGACTCCACACTGGGAGGAGTAGATCATGTAACAGTCACTCCTCTAGGATCCCTGTCTGAAGAGCTAAGGTTTCTAACCGAAAACCCTCATTGAGAACTTAAGCCTTTACATGCCCCTTCCTCATGGCTATATAGAATTACTTTCTCTCCACAGATATTTTAACATCTTGCAGGAGGTGGTCACTAGAAGCAGGAATAAGAATGACTTGTGTTTACCTAAAGGATAATAGTCAGATGAGCGTCTGTGTTTTGTTTCTTCTCATTTGGGTTTAAAGGACTGAAAAAAAAATACTTGACTAAATATTTACTCTTGTAGACATGACTTCTTTTTCACAAAACCAAGCAGGGTGGGTTTGATATGTCTGTTTGGGTTTTAAAACTCTGGGGACACTTATTGAAGAAGATAGCTAGCCCCTAAGACTTCTCCTATACCTTTCCTCTGGGAACCCCAGGGGATCCCCTGTCACCGTTCCTTCCCTTTCCTCCAGCCGTCTCCCCAAACAGAGTACCACAGCTCTCCCAGGTTCCCTTGTTCTCTTCTCCACCCCCTGTCTATCAAGTCCTTCCCACTGTTAGAGACGGCCTTAGGGTTGCCATCACTGCGATAAGATACTGACCAAAAGCACATGGTGGGGGGCTTTATTTCATCCTACATGTTCAGGTAAACAGTCCATGTCTGGGGAAGTCAGGCAGCCACTGGGGAACCTGAGGTGGGCACTGATGTGAAGACCATGGAGGAAGGCTTGCTCCTCATGGCTTACTTGGTCTGCTTTGTTAGAGCTCCCAGGACCACCTACCTGCCCAGGAGGGGCACTGCCCTAAGTGAGCTGGGCCCTCCAAGACCAATCATTAATCAAAAAGATGGCTCCACAAATCATTTTGCTGGGGAAATTTTCTCAGTTGAGGTCCCCTTTTCCAAAAAGACTCTAGCTTGTGTCAAGCTGACATAAAAGTAGCCAGCACAGAGGCTGCCATTGCCTTGACCTTGATAATATAGATAAGAAAGACCATCCCTTGAATGTTCTACTCCTGCTTTGTCTTGGGGATACTGTTTCCAGATGGCCAGAAAGATTGGTGGCTTTCCACATTCTGTCTCCATTACCCATCCTCCACTCAGTAGCTTCCAAATGAGTCCATCCCCAGCATTGTCCAGATGAAGTCGAGCTTGATTCTTTTTGACATTTTGTTTTATAACATTAGATTTACAAAATAGCATCAAGAAGGGCACAGAGAGCTAAGGAGATGGTTTAGTCACTAAAGTCTCACCACACAAACCTGAGACATGAGTTCAGATCCTAGGTAAAAGGTGGCTTTTGTGGACGACACCTATAATCCTAGTGTTGGGGAGGCAGATGCAGGAGGATGCCTGAGGCTCAATGGCCAGGCGGTTGACCCGAATTAGTTTGCTTCAGGATGAGAGGGATCCTGTCTAAAAGCATAAAGAACAATGTCAACCTCTAGTCTACACACACACACACACACACATACACACACACACACACACACCCTTACAAACATGTCCACACACATATACACAAAATTAATTAAAAAGAATGTTAACAGAGAGATCTAGATGTGTAATTCCAACACTCAAGATACTAATTCAGGAGGATTGAAGCAAGTTTTAGGTCAGTCTGGGCTACTCAGTAATTTACAGGCCAGCCTGGACCACAGAGAAGATCCTATCCTAGACACAGAAACAGACAAACAACCATCACAACAACCACACAAATGCAGAGACTCCAGCCCACTCACCCACCTTTAATCCAGTTTAAAATTTAGCCTAGCGGAGCGGTGGTGGCGCACCCCTTTAATCCCAGCACTCAGGAGGCAGAGGCAGGCAGATCTCTGTGAGTTGGGAGACCAGCCTGGTCTACAAGAGCTAGTTCCAGGACAGGCTCCAAAGCCACAGAGAAACCCTGTTTTGAAAAACAAAACAAAATAAAACAAAAAAACTTAGCCTAAATGCAAAAGAGAAGAAACGATCTGACTGTATTAAAGCCAGGACATTAAGGTTGGTGCAGTGCTCTGTGTTGACCTGTAGACCTCACTTGGACTCCCGAGTCACCAGGAATGTGTTTTCTTGGAAGATGACTCAGGTTAGGATTCACACGGGTCTAACTCAGGTGCTTCCACAGTCTTCCATGACCTTGACACTTGTAAAGTTGAAGCCAGCTCCTCAGAGCCTGGATCCCACTTTGGGTTTTGGTGGTGTTTTCTCACCATTAGATTGAGATGACATGTCTGGAATAAGAACACTGTAGACACTGTGGTAACTTCTCTGCCCTTGGAAACAAGGGCAGGGTTGCTGGTGTCGGCCAGGAGGTCTGAGTGCCAGGTTCCCCTCGGTAGATATGGCATTTTCCAATTGTAATGGACACACACAGGGGAGATACTCTGGCTTGTTGATAGTCTCACTTGTTAATTTGTGGATCTACCAAGAATTTCCCACTTTAAACAATTATCACTGTGATGTTTGCCTCATGCAAATGTTTCTGCTTTTGTTAATTAGTAGGTATTTTACTCTGAGGGAATCTCTATGTCTCACTGTCCCTGGGTATTTATCCATTATTTGTGCATTTATATCAGCTGGGGACAAAGAGCATTTCTTTCATTCTATGGATATCCAATAATGTCATTACTTAATTTTGTTGCTCAAATGGTGACCTCTTTGGTTCCTAACCCAAACTTGCTGACACATTGTCCAAGGCTGTTCCAACTGGACCTGATACTGGTTCTGAGTCTTCGTCCCTTGCAGAAAATGTTTGACTCCCCATATCCTCAAGGAGGATCTAGGTCACCTCTTCTTCATCCATGGTTGAGCCACTGCCATCTATTTCTCTGGCCTCTGTGGAGATGGTTATTCCTATCTGGCTGGCACAATTCTCTCCTGGTTTCCTGCCTAAGGGGTCTTATTCTATACTTCTACAAGTAGCTGTGTGTGTGTGTGTGTGTGTGTGTGTGTGTGTGTGTGTTCCTCACAGTTAAATCTGTTCAACTACCAGCCATCGTAAATGATTTGCTGCTTGGAAGCTTCAAGGACTCCAACATGACTCTGTAGATTGATAGGAGTCCTGTCAAAGACAATGCTGTCCCCACCAGAATCAATGTACCTGGCTAGCATGTCCTCTCCCATGCTCTGGGGGCTGAGTTTCTATAAACAGCCCCTGAGATCGTGTCTGGTCTCCAGCTCTAACAAGGCAGTCAGCCTAAGGCTCTGGCGTGTTCTGCTTTTGCTGTCCTCACTGACAAGAGCCCCTTCCTGTTGAAATTTGCTGAGTGCGAAAGAATTGGGCATGTGAGGGAGAGCCAAGCTCACCAACTTTTATGAGTTCTAAAAAAGAAAGCTCCGGGATAAACAAGTTTCCCTGTGGTAGGAACCAGGATCTGTTTTCTTTAGCTCATCTCAGAAAAACCCTTTATAACCTTTGAGGTAAAAACAGGCAGGAACCGGACGGAGCCCCTCCTGGCATGCCTTTGTTTGGCGGTAATTTCCCGCTCCTGATTCCCCTGTCTCCACTCTGGCCATATCCACCCTCATGTACATCACTAGACTTAAACTTGGGACACCATGTGGCATGTCCCTGAGAATACATCGACCTCTTCTAAAAGTGTCAGATTTGTGTGTGCATGTGTGTGCTAGTTTGTGTGTGTGTGTGTGTGTGTGTGTGTGTGTTAGTGTGGTGTGTGTGTGCGAGTTTGTGTGTGTGTGTGTGTGTGTGTGTGTGTGTGTGTGTGTGTGTGTACACCTGTGGAGGTGCACAACCTCTAGGGTCTTCCATAGTACTTCTTATCCACTTTGTTTTTTGAGATGAAGCCTCACTGAACTTGGGCCTGTCTGATTTGGCTAGGCTGGGTGGCCAGTGAGCTCCAGGGATCCACCTGCCACTGCCTCTGTCTTCCTGTACTGAGATTACAAGTGCATGCTCTGGGGATCTCACTATAAACCCCCTTCCTGTCCCATCTCTTCTTTCAAGCAACATCCTGGGACTAACCCTGTGGCATGGATGTCCTTGCAGTCAGAGGCTCTTCATTTGAAGCAACACCTGTTAAAGGGCACAGCAGAAGGAGACAGGGAGCTGGATGTTCAGGTCAGCCTAAATCAGGGGATGCCTAGGTAGGAAGGACAGTGAGGGTGAGATGCAGTCTTGAGCAGTGTGGCTCGGGTGTCCTTTTGTCACGCTCCTCTCACAGCCAGCCTGGACTCTGTGCAGAGCAGCCCAGGGGCAGGAGCAGCATACAGCACATCCCTGGGGATGTTACCCTCAGCGTCACCAGGAAGACAGCGTAAACAGATGATAAATAGTTCCTCCTGAAGCTGAATCTAAGCTTCCTTCAGCATGCAATTCCACCACAGAGCTCCACAGACCATCATAGGGAGTAAAGAGTGCTCTGGGGAGGAAGAAGGTTTGGTTCAGGTTAAGAAAGGTCTGGAGGAACCACAGACAGCATCACCAAGTCAGTCACTTCATCCATCAGTGCACTGAGTTCCCCAGAATCGCATCTGGGGCATGACACAGTCAGCCTCCCTGAACAGAAAGAAAACCGGTTTCCAGGGTGGGACAACAATGGAGCCAGGAGCCCTGTAGCCACAGGACTTCCCTTCCTGGGAGAGAGTCTGCCTGCCTGGTGGAGAGCAGGAAAAATGGATGCTGAGAGTAGCATGTGGGTGGTTAGAGCCCCTGTGCACATCCTGCACTGAGGCACATCTCCTCAGAAGTACCGGGTGAGGCAGGGTGGCGCTCCTTAGGGGCCTCACTTCTGAAAGTCTGCATCTCGGAATTTTCCTGTCGCCTTTGATGAATCCCTGAGCGTGTGTGTGCATATGTATCTCTGTGTGTGAGAGAGCTTGTATGCATATATGTCTGTGTGCGTGTGTGTGTGTGTGTGTGTGTGT